TATATGATCAATCACAATTATATGTTTGTAAGCCTATTTTTTTCGTGTATACAGCTGAGTGCCAAGTGTAAATGGTGACTGAGTGAGCGATTTTCAAATATACCTCACTATTCTTTTTTCCAGTGACATTGTTTTCTCGCTCTGAATAACAAATATAAAAACAATAACACGTCTGATGAAGAGGCAATTTTCTATTGGGAATTCATAGTGAATTTCATCTCAAAAGATATTTTTGTAATAAAGTCATTCGTGTCTTATTTTTTTAATATTTTTATTTAGTGAAGAAAACAATAAACATCCTTAGAATGATACTGTTCATTGAAGAGAACACAGTTCGGAATAGATCATAAAAATAAGGTAAACAGAAGCGAAATTAAGCTGGTAAACAATTCTCAAGAGAAGGGAAGGCAATGTTACATATATTTTAAATTTGATAAATTGAGAAGTCTTTGAAAGCGTGAAATTAAGCTGTTCTTGTTACGTTCATATTTATCATTTGAAGATGAAGACAAATAACCGGTTAATTATGCTTTAACTTGATCGATAATATATAAATTATGCTATTTTAATAGATTAATTGAATAGGTTCCACTTATAAACGTGATTGGTTTAATGGTTCTTTCGCAAATGATTTATATAATAAACTCTAATGCATGTAGAAATTATGACTTTCAAAGGGAATAAGAATTGACGTCAGATAATATTCGCGACTAATTATGCTAATACAACTATATTTAGATAAGGTTACATTATTAACAATTCTAGTTCACATAAATTCAAGGATAGTTTATAGTAGTCAAACAAAAGTGTGTTATCTCAGCTTTCAGCGTTGTTTAGAAGCATAGTAATCTTTGGATTATTGAGAGTGATATTCATGCCTAAAATCTTCTGTTCTTTGTTCACTGAATGCTTTGCCTATGCAGACGATGAATACTGTCTTCATCGACTACCAGGAGCAAAACCGCTTAACGAAGATGAAGGTCAACTATTCCAATAAGATCACAAATGACTTATCATTGGAATAAGGATGATCAGTTTTCAAATAGTTTACTTTCTGCATGGTCCGCGTTAACATTTCCCATATCTGAGTACTTATTTCAACTGTTCAACTGTGTTGTCAACAAGGTTTACTTAAATTTTATTTTGTATTCAATTTTAATACTATACCGACTGATTCAGGATGAATGCACTTACGGCTTCAACAATTTATACGGCTGAAAAGCAATAAGATATTAGATAACTTTAACCTGGTTTTTTTGTAAGGTGATCATTAATGTCAGTTGACAGGATAGGTTATTTAAATATCCTAATAATGGGCTTGAATTTACTTTGAAATGTATATCCTTCTGTGTCTCATATTTACTAAGAACTTATATTTCAAAGTATTGCCTCTTTCTGATTTCACAGCAGTCCTTTTATAAGATTAACGCACTGTAACAAAACATCTTCGACTCATGATGGCGTTCAACTGTTTCCTAATTTTCAGAAAGACAATGTTAGATGGCGACAGTTTGAAGCATATGAAACATATTATTGTAGGCATAGGTATTCTCTCAGTCAATATAAAACTTATTGTCACTTCAGACTGATGAAGTGTACAACTCAGCATGTGAACGATGATAATAATAATGTCCACAAGGTTATCCATATATACATGGAGTGACAGTAGATTGACAACTGGTGCTAAATATCTTGCCATATATGTACGAATGAATCCAAAGCGTAATTTATTATCCCTTTGTGGACTATTACCTTAAGCCATGAAACACGTATATCATGTGACAGCTAACGATATTTCTGAGTTCACCGAACGGGTTTCGAGCTCTTAACCCGATGGCTGAATATCAGGAACACTAACTTACTAGCTACAACGTGATCTTTGTCGACACAGCTCATTCTTATTAGAAACTTAGTAGCCATGTGGCGTTTCAAGTACAAGCGCTTGTGGACAAGAAGTGGAAAACACCTTGCTTATCTCCACATGTGAATGTAAAGAGAATTAGTATTCAGTGTGTGCAATTTACTTTTTAGACTTTTTCATCTTTGTATGTGACTTCATACTTTCTCTTTGACATACAACATAAGAGATTACGAATTATCCGGATAACAGTGCGAAAAGATCCATATTGCTATAAAAAGCTCTAATCGTATCCATATTTCCATATTTTGGAATGTACTACAGGAAGTAAAAGGTACCTAAATAAAAATGATGCCCACTGAGTGTGTCATTTGAATCTGGAGAAATGATCAAAAGCATTTTGTGAATCACTCAGATAACAGTCTTGTCATCAATTTGAAATCATGATGAATTGAATACTTTTCTTTCTATGCTGAATATTTTTTACCGCTAACTACTTCAGTGCAGCTTATGAAGGGCTAACATGCAATTTAGAGTGTAATCTAACAAATTACTTGTGTACCTACGTCAATCGGTTATGGAACCAGCTATGATAACGTTGTTGCTTGTATTGTCCCATCGCTGACTGAACCGAATTGATCGCTGTCCACTGGAATATGGAGTTCTGCATGGATGCCTCAATAATGCCTGTAGTTTCAGTTTAGTAGTAACGATAATTAATGGCCATAACTGGAACCCAGGATAGGCATTTCGTCCTATTTGGAAATCGTCAAAACATACCTCTCAGTGACGAGTTTCGAACAGGACAAAACACGCATTCTGAATCCCGTTGGTAGTCACTATTCATCATTACTACTGAACTGATAATAATGGTCTAAGATCTTGAGTTTAAATATTCTACTTGAAAATTTTAGAACAAAGATTTGTTTATGTTACAAATGCCAGCTTGCGGCATTTTAAGCGTGTGAACATGACCATCAATATTGCATTGAATTATAATCGGTGAAGGAAATTCTTTACGTCTTTGGTTAGACCACCACCTTTGACAAATAGTCTTACGCTGATGCATGATTCAAGTAGCCGAGAATTAATAAACTATGTAAGGTAAAGCTATGGATGTAAAATTCTGATAATAAACTCTGGAGCACAGAATTACAATCTACTTTTTTTATAAAATGACCGTTGGGCTTAAGTTACCTACATATGGTTATGAAAAGTTTACCAAAGGAAATTGTCAGATATGCTTGTAATCTCTTTTCCTCTGATTCATTTTAAGGCAACTTCCTATTTGTTATAAATAATCTCAAAAGAAGGAAAACCAAAGTTTATTTTAATTCACACCTATGTTTTACTCCAAAATTTCAACTTCATCAGTTAAGACAAGTTCCAGTTTAGGAAATCATCCGTTGTTAGCTTGTTTATTTATGGGTAAGCTTATTTAACAACATTATGATGACCTTAAAATCTATGCCAATCGATGCAACAGTAATGTTAAACAACTAAAATGGCGTCAGTTTTAAACTATTTAATAGGTAATTAGGTTATTGGACACAGCATAGAAATATAACGTTTCATTAGCTAGTAAACTGTATCGAAAGTTTGCAGGTCAGATGTTGCAATGCAGAAAAAAGAAGGAAATGCTTTTCTCGTTCAATCTTTGGTAGAGAGATAGCCGTGGTTTCATAATTTGGTGTGGAAAAAGTGGGTTCACCTGGAGAAGGCAATTAACAGCGGTGGAAGTTTCCTATTACACAAATACACCTTCAATCGGATATCAACATACAGTCAAAATAGTATATCAAGGGAAGCTCATTGTGAAAGATACATCTATTCCGTGCTTTGGTCCAGTTGTCTATAAACACGAAGTGATAACCAGACAGTTTATATTGAATAGAGCTCTTGAGTATCGGCTGAGTTTTTGATAACTCAGTGCATTATGTTTCCCGTGTTAGGGGGTCACCATCACAAATCCAAATCCAGGGCTAAATATTAAGAGAGAACTAATTAAAGCCAGATGTCCGAATTTTACCGGGATCCGCGTTCATCAGTCGGGTAAACGCTAAGCTTCAAACAAAATCAGTGATCTTTTCCGGATTACAAATCTGTAAAGTAGCTGAAAATGTTGCAGATATTTTGTTCAGGTCATGCATCTGAATAAAAAGGTGTGCTTTATGAAATGTACGAACGCGCTTACTTGGTTCTGTTCCTTCAAGGTGATATAATATACCAATGTAGTAATTAGAAGTTGTTAAACATAACGCTAGGCTACAACTATCCACCAAGTGATAAGGAGTGGTGGACAAGAAATCCGTCATTACAGACGAATAGCTAGCTACAAAGACAAGTACCTTTTATGTGCCGACCTAAACCACTTTTCGTTTCCTTATATGTCACTTTTATCATGTTATGAGAAACATAATATTGTGCATTGGCAAATTAAAATATTTCATAATGCTACTGAATCTAAAAGTGTTATGTGATATGACATGTCTGAAAATAGCTTGAAGATGTCTAGAAGTCAATGTAGCATTAGTCCATGAAACGTCTAACTAGTGGTCAGAACCCTTCACGAAGGTGTCGACTTCCTGGTGTGCATTCGCGTGATTAATGAAATGTGGGATTGAACACTCTAGGTGAGGTCTCAGAACCGATCCACAGGATGTTTTCCTCTTAATCTTTGATGCGAAATTTCGTAATTGTTTTGTTTCTTTTTGTTCAGTTGTGTGATTTCTCACTAATCTAACCACTTTCTTCTTCATTTTTCTACCTCTCATCTGTGTGCCTTATAGCTTAACTAATGATGTGAGCTATGGCCATTCAAACCCTAAAGCACTATCATAAAGTCAGATGTCGCTATTTACTTACTGACGGTTAAGCTGTTAGCTAAATATAAGTGAGATGAGGCAATCACCTGAAAGTCGCATCAAAATGCTTCCGAACAATTCATAGCCAGAGGAATGAAATAACTTTATTTTTTGGTCATGGAACTTCAACAGAATCCAACTTTTTCAAGTGTGGTTGGTCATCTGACAAACACAAACTCGCAGAAACTTAGTAAAGTAAAGTAAAAGAATTCTATAAACATCCACCATTTCAGTGAAAGTAACTTATTGTGAAAATTTAGTAATACACTTTAGCTCACCGGTATTTGTTGATCTGAGTAGGAATGACTGTTTTGGGTATGTGTGTTTTCCGTGATTGAAATATCAAATTTGGTGAATGATATGTAATATATCCACAGCTTCAGTATTATATTTAGTAGATAGGTTCGTCAGTTTTAATATTACATAAATAAATCTCTGTCAAGTTAGTATTTGTGTAGATTATCCCGGAATTCATTTACGATTGACACACGAAGTATGAGTTATGAGGATTAAATTTACTACACAAATGTTTGTAATAAAACTGCTACACGATTGGCTCTCATGGTTACTAATTCTGATTGGTTAAAAAAGTGACTAATTAAATTTACAATGCTGCATTTTATTTGCTTGAATAGAAAATAGTGAATTAGGATTTGGTGAATACGGAAAATAATGATACTGACTGGGGTATTTTAGTTACCCAGGGTTAGCTTAATTAACTTGTAAATAAACAAGTACAAATATGAGTGAATAAAATGTGAAGGAAAGAATCTAAGGTTTAGTGGAAAATAGAGGAAATATTTCAAGTTGTTATTCATCGTAGACTGACATCAGTTGGAGGAACAAAGGAAACCTGGGGGCACTGGATGACTGTTTCGCCCCAGTAAGGACTCCTCAGTAGCGCGCACCCACGACCCCGCAAGGGATCAAACCTTGCGACCTTCAGGTTCCGTGGTCAGCACGCCACCATTGAGCCACTGGGTCAGAATCCAATGCCGTATATTTCCAACTTCTGTTAGATCATGATATAGCGCGACCACTCAATGTCATCGTTGATTAACTGTCTTCAAGACCACCAGACTTCTCCCCCACCGGTCACGACTTCTCGTTATCGTGACCTAACATAAGTTGGAAATATACAGCATTGGATTCTGACCCAGTGGCTCAATGGTGGCGTGCTGACCACGGAACCTGAAGGTCGCAAGGTTTGATCCCTTGCGGGGCCGTGGTGCGCGCTACTGAGGAGTCCTTTACTGGGGCGAAACAGTCATCCAGTGCCCCCAGGTTTCCTTTGTTCCTCCAACTGATGTCAGTCTACGATAAATTACAACTTGTGATATTTCCAAATCTCCACAACTCCAAAATATTTCTAATCAGAAGCGAAATTCAAAGCAATCGTGTTTATGTATTTTCATTCTTTTCTGTTGACTTGATAATAGCTCGACACTGTATAAGATTCCTGGTTTTGACAAAGTACGTCTCACCAATTTGACGGTGTGTATAGACATGCCTTGTCCACATCTGTTCTATGTTGCATCCAAATGAAAAACTTGGAAGATACTCTTGCATCAAAATGTCACACTGTCTAAGACAACCTACTAAAGTTTGGAATTCAAGGAGTGGCATAAGTCTCTATTTTTCTGAAGTACAGCGGTAGAGAAAAAACTGTTTTACATTCCTTGGCGTATCTTAAAGGCTATAAAAACATTGCCAGTGTGTCATTTCTCTAATTGTTATCCATTATTTGGTTGAGAACTGGGTTACATAGAAACTGAGAATATTTGATGAACTTGGGCTTAAATTATAAAACACAGGTAGATAGGATAATTTACTCTGAAAAAAATGCTGCATTTTGATTGTATCATTAAAAAGTGGCTGTATGTAGGGATGAGAAATAAATACATACAGATAAGGCATCAACATAGAGAGTCAGTAAAGGTTCTATGTAAAGTGTGAGTTTTTAGGTCAGCAGAGATGTGCTGTTAATCCCAGCAGGGATAAAGTTGCCCAATACCTAATTCCAAACAAAAATAGTGTCCTAAAGAAAAGTACCTGTGAAAAGACCCATTTTATCGTAAACAGCAAAGCAAACCTACCTTCACCTCACTTGATAGCCACCGCAAATAAAAGACAGTTGCATGGAAGATACAGAAGGAAGAATGTAACCACTTAAACATAATGAAAATTGTAGTTATGAGTGTATCGTCCTACTGTGGGTCTACTCAACATTGCGCCTCATGACCTCAATAGGGATTGAGATCACAAATACAAGTACGTGTGTGTACCTGGATTCCGGGTAATTCTGATATACCTCCTGTAACTCAAAGGTATGTATGCATGATATAAACACTTTAGTTTTCTTCCTCACAAAAAACGCACTGGAAAATGTTATCAGGTGAATTTCTCAGCATGTTTACAAGTGGCAAGTAATGGACAGTATTTTATATCGTTTGCCTGGGAGAAGAGAAAAATAAAATGAATTTCTTTGTCAACTTATTATTTTTACTATACATCATGCGACATGCATAGACATTCAAATAATCATATTCACATCTTCACACGCAAATAAACAGAAAGAGACATTTTTATTGATTTATTACTCATTTGTGGAGGTTAGTTTCTTGACTAATGTAAAGAAATAACATAGTGATTATAACAGACAAGTGCATAACTTTACCAATATAATAACAGACTAAGTGAAATTGAAGGTGTTTTGTTCTTCATATTGGTTTTGTTAAGAGGAAGGCATATTTGAATTTGAGTGAAGAAGAAAGTAGAACTTTCAAGTCTGTTTCTTGTGATTTGTAGTTATATTATTCTTTCATAAGTTATCTAATGAAGAATCAAGTTACTTCAAGCAAACATACATTCAATAAAGATTCAAAACGCCAAAGCAGTATTGAGACATTCAGCCCCTATCCATAAGTTTGATTTTTGATTCTATTGACCAATGTCGGTGTGTAACTTCTTACTGTCTGAAATGTTATTATTTTTAGGTATGTGGATAAATAAGCATTACAATTAGTTAGTTTTTGATTGTTTGTTTGGTGAGGTACCCAACGTTCTATTCAAAACTGGTCAAACCGATACCCATATCCCTCTACGAGCTGCAGTTTTTTCCCTGAAGGCTAACACTAGTATCACACTCCCTATGGTTCGTTTGTCTTGATATCTGACTTCTGAATTACTGGGTGACGCATTCAAACCTTGCCACATCTACGGAGGTTCGGGCAGCTCTCATACAACAGGTGTGGCTCATTATATACTGCATGGGGATGCACTTGGTTGCTGAATTCCCTTCTATTTATTTCGACTGTTATTCCTATCACAATTACAAAAGCCGTATATTTTCCGTTTAAGTAGTTTGCTGAGAATTAACCGAACTTGGGATGATTTAAATGATGGACTGACATTAGAGTTAGGAGAAATTTCAAAACCATGGAACGATAATCAACTAATAAGCACAAATTTGAGACTCCCTACCATTTCCACCTTCAAACTAATGTATGTTTGATTGTAGGCTCTTAGAATTTGAAAGCAAGCACAAAAGACTGGAATCAGCCACATAGTGAAAAGACACTTTTGTCTTTTGACAGCAGTGAACGTCGAATATATTTAGAGGATATGAATGCCTGGATTTCAATGCTAACGCTGAACTGTGTTTTGTTTACTCCAAGATTAAGAGGTTTTAACTCGATTCCGTCATCGGTCTTCGAAAATGTATAGACAAGCAGTCTCAAATATTTGCGCAGTGGTCAACTAATGATGATGTTTCATAACTTAAAATCTGGTACTTAAAACACTCAATAAAGTTTAATCATCAGAAGTACCTCTTTTAAGGGCCTAATAGTTAGACTGAATTTGAAATTTTTCCACACAACCGATGGTTAGCTTGAGTGGTAATTATAAGTTACACTGTTTATTAGATAACAAAATCCGTTTCTTCCTAGTGACTGTAATTATGTGATTTGGTCTAATTATTGCATCACTTTGACGTTTTGGAATTATAAAAATACCAATTTGTTAAAAAGGACAGAAAACCCTTTTTGCTTTGTTCGACTTACATCCTTGATCAAGATATCAGCAAATTTCCATATTCTCGTATGTATGTGATTTTCACTTTACCGTGTTAAGTTCCCTGACCTTAGACCAGGTATATATATATAATGTAATTGTGCCTCTTGCAAAATAATTTACGCACTGTTTTTGAGTTTAAATAAAACAAGTCGGACTACTCATTCCAAGGAAGCCTTTTTATGAGTAACATTTAGCGGTGCTTGAATCAGTTTGTCTGTTTTAGTTGGCCTACTTATTGGCGATCGATCATGCGGTTCGAGCCTAAGTGGAACAACCTCGCTCACTGAAAGGCAGGTACATCCAGCTGAAGAGTTTTAAATAAGGTGAGATGTGCTTCCTGGATTCCGCTGCTAGCCACAATCCATGAATAATATAAATTGAAACGCTAGGTAATATCGAGGCATCCGAGTAGGAGCATATATGCCAATTAAGATCGATCAATCGGTCCAATCAACACTGGAATAATACAAGTAACAACATTAATTTTGTTGATTAGCTGTATTGTCAGTAATTACAACAGTGAAGAAAAGTCATCATTTACAGCTGGTTCATCTTCAAACGTTTGGTTGGTGTCCATTGAATCTAGTAGTGTCGCTTTTGGTCATATAAGAAATTTCATTTTTATTGTTGAAGAAAATGAACTCACATGAATATAGGGGATGAATACTTAATATCTCTTGGTTATGACTTTTAAGAAAGACGTTTAAGTGAAAAATTACTTTATTATAAGATAGTTTCTCAGGACTCTCAAATGACATTGATGTATTAAGGTCACAGTGTAGAATTGTACGGTGGTAGAAAATAGACTTAGATTAAGTGAATATTTTCAGATTTTCTAAATTTATACCGGATTGATATAGACGTTTGTTTCTTTATTTTGACATTTTTCAATCCTTGAGAGAGAACATCTGAACTTTTCTGACATTCCTAATATTAGTGTTGCACAATGTAAAAGTAACCTTTGGGTTATGTATAACTATTATGTTGGCTTTTACTAATTAAGGAGACATGATGGTGTTTGATAAAGATTATTTCATGGGGTCCAGCTTTATGACTAACAAGAAAATAAAACATATAACGACATACAACTAAGTTAACACTTGAAATGAAGCCAGAAGGGACGGACAATTAATCAGAAACTATTAGTCAATTAAAAAACTAATCAAATGACAACCCAAGCTCTAGGTTAGTTAGGCTAAATGTGAAATACAAAGTTTTTCAATTCCAACTTGAATGGTATTGTCCTTAAACACAAGCAGAATCTACAAGATTCTGAAATGTATCCAAAATGCTGCTCATA